GCCAACCAGCAATTTGTCGAAATACTACCGACAACCTATATCTTCCAATCCCGCAGTATTTATAACATAGGCGGCAAAGTTGAGTGATCAACCAAGAAGCGTTACGACCAAGCGTGGTGATATGTAAATAGGTCGCAACTGTACGCCGCCAACCAACACTTATTTCTCTTTCGATTTAGATAAAAGTCGAAGATTAATCCTTTAGAATTACGTGATAATAAAATTGTTACACTCACAGTATTTTTCTAAGGTTGGGAAATCAGCAGTGCGACAAACATCCCATGCAATAGTGTCGAAAATATGACCGCGTAACATTATCTGCGGACCGCTTAGGGAACACACCTTTTCGCTTATCCGACGAATTTCACTGCAAACTTTGAAAAATTTTACACTGGTTATTTGGAGTTACGACTTAAAACGTGTTACAATGTGAAATCGGTAATTGTATTAAATGTTTCCTTCCGCCTTGCTTCCCGCAGCTTCAAAAATACAGGTCCAAACAATTCTACGATTTTAAATCGATCGAAGCCAGTGTTTTGGAGGTCATCAAGTCTCGAAAACTGCAACACTTACGTCGCTCTTATAACCATGAAGAATTCCAGAAAGTAAAACACAAACTGGATTTAATAGAACAACCATACCTTGACAAAATACATTCTCGCTAAGGACAAATGTAAGCGGGCTATAAACACGCATGGGAGTCTTTGTGTTTAGGTGACGAAATTACCAACCAAAGCAGTCCTTGAGTTTTCTTTCTTGGTTTTCGTTTGCCTGCTCCTTCACTTCGTATCTAGCTTTCCATTCCTAATATACAAGCAGCTCGTCCGCAAAGAAATCTTCCCCGTCGTTGCTCGAAATATTGCAAATTGTTCTCAAAGCTCTAGGCAGTGAGTTCACAGTTGTCGAACCTGCTCGATCGAAGTTTATTTCAGTGTCTTCGGAATCGAAACCTAACTCCGACTCCAGTGACGAAAGAGAAATGATTCTGAAACAAAACTTGGACGTTTTAGTCCCAAAATATATTGGAACGATTAGTTTTGTTTTCCATTTTCTCGAGAAAATTCGCCTTTATCGCACAGCAGCCATCTTGGATTGACGTCATGTGCTTTTGACACCAATGCGAGGGCACGCGTGTGAAGGTCAACTTCCGGTGATCGGGAAGACAAGGCGATCACCTGCAATCATGCCCAACAGAGATCACTGTTACGGGCCGCAATGTCAAAATAATCGCGCTAAAAATATTCCAGATCTCACCTTTCACCAATTTCCAAGCGATGAACCCATTCGAAAGCTGTGGGTTGTCAAAATACGGCGAGACGTGGGCAAAAGTTTCCAGTTGGTTAGGTTATCGATGATATTGTTGCGCACATGAATTTACATTAATTATTATGATCTGGTCCATCTACAGATAACAAACAGCACAAGAGTATGTTCTGTACACTTGAAGGAAGCGAATTTAAAGACAACTTTAACAGGGAAGCGTGTTCTAGAGAAGCATGCAGTTCCGAGTATTTTTTGGTGGTCAAGATCACCGAGGGAAAGAAAATCTCCGAAAAAGCGAGAACCACCGCGTGCACGAGTTCGATTATTTGATGTAAGTGTGCCATTGTCCCCTGTCACTGTCACAGGTAAATATTGTTGTCGGTATTTCTTTAACCATCCCTCGGTTAAAATCGTAAAATAATCAGAGGTATTTTTATGTTTTTCATTTTACTCCATAGCATCAACTTCCGGCCAACCTTCTGGTCAGGAAAGTTTTATGGAGGTCCAACCGTAACTGTCATCCTCTCCTGTTGTTGTAGACTCCCCCACGCTCATATACACACCTACCTTGAATTGCCACGATTACATTTTTTCTGGTGAGCCTGCGAAGACCACATATGAGCTGCTTGAAGCAGCTCATCAGAGAATTGAGGAGTTGGAGGCAGCACTGGATAAGCGAACAATATATATACAACTGAAAATGAAACCCAACAGCAGCATTAGGATTTTAGGTTTTTATTTTAGGTAATGAGCCAGTGTATACATGAAGTCAATAACGTGGTGGCAAAAGCCTTGACCGGCTGCACAGCTGCATATAAATGACTCTACTCCAACTTCGTTTTGACGCTTGAACACCACATAAAGTCTGTGAGGCTCTTCATTCTTCTTCATGCTTCTGAAGCATTTTACTCTGACCGTAATTCCCTCCTCTTCCTTAGCAAGCTTAACTTTGAAAAATGAAAAAAAAAATTACGTTTGTTTCGACCAGACTCTAAACTTCGATTGTTAAAGAAGGCACGAATAACGATTATCGAGCAATGACGCTCAATGCAGATACAGCCGGAAGCTTACCTTCAACATCGTGAATATGTGATTCGCAGAAGAATTTATACCCTCTTGTCAATGTCATCTTCACTGGAAGGTTTTCACTAGCCATTTTTTCGATAAAGGCGTTTGTGAACGACGGTATGTCCACCAGATTGCGGTGCCAAAACTCTGAAGAAATTGAGGTACTCGACTCAGCCATAATGTTTTTACACGCGTGGCCTCGCTTTCATGCGAAAATGGTGACGTTGCATCCAACATGACGGACTGTGATTACGGCGAATACGGAGAGCTGACTGAGGCGCCATTGTGTTTGGTTCCTGGATAGACGTCATCAGCAACCGCCGCCCCAGATTCCCTAAAACGCGGTTGTGTAACACTTCAAGCGCGACTTTGAAAGGGCATAGAAAATCGCCGATCGAGAATTCAACCAAATTCAAAAATGTTTTCGCCCAAATGCTTCGAATAACAAGTGGATTCGTTTTAGCGAAAAAAAAGTTTTGGGGTTATGTGCACTTTGAGAGTTTTTTTAATGGACTTGAGAATAGAATTGCAGTTTGAATTCTTTCTCATTGTCTTATGATAATCAAAATAAATTCCTAATATTTTTTATCGATGTTAACATTTTATGATAAAATTCTTCTTGTACTAATTTTTGCGGTCCAATTGCAAATAGTTCAGTTTTGTCATCATTTACACGTAGACCGTTTCGTTAATCTGATTATATGGAGCGACCTTGTGAGATTTGGAGATACTCGATGTGGTTTGTTTGTTTCACATCATCTCTTCGTGAGGTTCACACTAAACTCTTTTACTTACGGTGTTGAGACGGTCTCAAAAACAGTCTCGAAAATCCCGAAACTTTCTGTCCCCAAAGCAATACTCTTTTGAACAACATGGAGCAACAACATGGCAAGTGGTTGTCTCCTTCTAGTCTGCCTGTGGAAGAATAAAGGTTTACTCCCATTGCAACCGCGATTCCTTTTACCATTTTTTTTAAACAAAATACATCAATAGGAATTGGCAGTGCCACATCCCACGAGAACGTGGAGATGAGACGAGAATTAACCTGTGATTATACCCTCCCTACGTCTCATCATCCTTGGGAATGAGTATGTGTAAAATAGGCTTGACTAGCCGACCTCTGCGGTTCGTGACATTTGGACATTTGCCGTTCTCTGTTCGGTCTCTTGACCTTTTTGTCGCTTCACTCGTGTTTATGAAGGGTACTTCATGTTGTGTTATAAGGGGGAACTTAAAGTAGAGTTGAGCCGTTAGACCGTCCTATGGCAAATTTTTAGGTCATAGGTCTGCATGATTTCCACTGTTATCTGCGTGTCGCTTCGTAGAGTTTGACACCTCTGTAATTTGCCATGTGTTTATGTATTGTTTATAGGCTCATTCCTATTGCAAGATATGCTTTTAAATCTCGACGTATTTGCTTTCGAGGGACAAAATATGAAATTAACCGTGAACACGTTTGCTTACTTGCATTAGATTTCTATATTGTGACGCCGGGCCTGCTGTGATTAGAACTGTTTGCAAGTAGAGTGGGTTGATTCTTATCACGGATAACATATTTGCCTTCGAACGTTTTTCTTCGGAGATGTCGTAGCTTTACTTCGAGAAAGCTGTACGTTTGTCTAGAGACATTCTTATGTTTGTTTACCGCTGTCTGATCGAGCTTATGTTTCTCTTGCTCGATGTATAGGTTTATTCCTCCTTTGGTCGTTATGCCACCACATGATTCAAATGTAGCTGTTTACGCGCAAGTCCTGTTGACTGTTTTGCGTGTTGTATTTGCCATTGTTTGGCTTAGTTCAGGCCATTCTCGTACCCAGAGCCCACGATCCTTCTGGCCTGCGGCAAGGATCGAGAGCTCTGGGCTGGTCCAACACTGGAAGTCCGCGATTCACGGACTTCCCGTCAAATCTGGCAAATCTGATTGGCTGAGAATACGAAACGAATACTCTGTGCATGCTCAGAAAATCGGGTTCGGCCAGAGCTATCGATCCCTGCCGCAGGCCAGAAGGATCGTGGGTTCTGGGGACGAGACTGAGTTCAGGCGAGACCATGGTCTCGATCCTCCATATGGATCTCATCAGTTGCCGGTATTTCTAAAATGCTCTGTCCGTCTGTAGTTGCCACTAGCGCAAATCGTCCATACGTTAGAATGTTAGACACTCTGCGGCTTGGCACAAATTTCTCGTGGTGTGTACCATTGTGGCGGATCGAAAATGCCTGGTTTCTATTGGCTATGACAGCTAGCCAATGGCGTATTGTACTTTTTGATCCTTATGTGTCTTATGCTTCACCTTGTTATTTTGTGTTTCTTTGTCGGCATTTTTTCTAGATTTCTGAGCACTCGATGGCTGATCTGCACTGTGGAGCTATTTTGATATAAACGTA